TTTATTGACAAAAATATATAGGAGTTATTAAAAACAACTCACTTTTCATTATGTAATATATACATTGACCGATAGCAAGATTTAGAAGAATTTAGCACTAACATTAATTTCACTGCTGAAGATCACATGTAGGGTCGAAACGTCGTATGAAATTGTAATATATGTATTCATTTTGAATAATAATTTTAGCGAATAACATCTGTCTAAATAGCTTTTTTAATCTAATATTTTATATATTAATTTTGAATTTAGATTCATTTCAGCCTGATTTATATTTAGGCACTATATCGTGTCTCCAGATACAGTTTTTGTGCATGTCATGATGTAATACTCTACTTTTCTCTTTGCATTAACACAACTATTTCAGAACGCCTAGATCAAGCCTGTCCAATTAGAACTCCGGAGCCAAAACGCAAAGCCATCGACGCAAAAAAATTCAATGTGAAAAGATTTTAGGAACTATAAAGTGTTGATAAGCGTCACTTAGATGCGTATCAATAATTTACAGTTCTCGAAATTTTACCCATATTGAATTTTTTTGCGTTGATGGCGTTGTGTTTTGACTCCGGAACAAATTCGACAAGCCTTCCTTACGGAAAAAACTCTTAAAAGTTAAGTGATTACACTTTAAAAAACACTGAAAAAATACACTCAAGGTAACACTCAATTAATGATTATTTTGGACACTCAACTTGAGTATAACTCTCAACTTGAGTGTTATTAATGACTTGAATGTTGAGTGTTAATCTCAACTTGATAGTTAATTTAAGTGTCAGGGTGAAATCACACGGTGCGGAAAATGATTGCGGAACAAAGAATGTGTCATTCAACGGACTCAACAGTTTAGGATTTACGCTCATTTATTACGTGTCATACCCAAGTGTTGAGGGTAACCTTTAGATGTTTAGTGCGTAAACTCAAACTTGAGTGTGAACGTTGTAAACGCTCAATCTTTGAGTGTATACTCGTATACTCAATGTTTGAGTATAAACACTCACAATTTAAGTGTAAACACACAAATTTCAGATTAAACTCCCAAAATTTGGAGTTTACACTCAAATTTGAGTATAAACACTGAAATTTTCAGAGTTTTTTCCATAAGGGGTGGCCTAGACGAAATTCTTTATCCAAAAAGTAATTTAATAAATCATAAGTGGTAGTACAGACCACTAATAATGAGATTTTGGCCCCGGCCACGCCAACGTTTTATCCACTGAACTTTTTCTCAATCAAATGACATGCTCGGTGAGTTTTAGCACGAAGTGAGCGAGAGAATGGTTGCTAGTTTTCAACTGGGATGACCCCAAAGACCCATGCGCTGGGGATCCTATGGTTTTGCCCAATATTGACAATCACAATAGAAATTTACAAGTTTTGTATTATTGATTTGTCAAAATTATATTATTTCCAAAAAAAATATGATATTAGATTTTTCACCCTTCTGGATATTTTTTTTCAGAACTCGAGGAATTTTTTAATCACACCGCACAGTAAAAAATTTATAATGCGCAAACATATAAATGTATATAAACACATATAAGCATGTTATATAAATATATATTAATTCTAAATGTATATACAACCATGGGCATTAGGAGTCAACGCTAGATATTTATTGCGTAATATTATCTGATATTTATAAAATCTATAATTACAATAATTTGGACGTTTCGGCTAATAATTTTGAGCCATCCTCAGCAATAATAATTACCGCTAATCATCCGTATTGTCGAGCTGCATCTCGCACAATTGCAGCTCCGACCATACTACAATTGTATTGGAAATGTGGTGAGAGACAACCATCTTCAACATAGTTAATGTTGTGCCATCCAGTTGCTTAGCTGAGTGGAATTGATAGTGGAACTCAAGCTAATAATTGCAATACAATATTTTTTATTAAAAAAATTTTTTTACTAAATATTAATTGGTATAGGTTGACCAGTAACTCACCCCATTTCCATTTATAAATATCAGATAATATTACGCAATAAATATCTAGCGTTGACTCCTAATGCCCATGGTTGTATATACATTTAGTTTAATATTTTGAGGAGTCCATTGATTGTATTTTTCTTTAAGTCTTTTTATATATTAATTCATTTGGTGGCGTAACATCCTAAAGTCGAGATAGGATTTACCTCTCGTACGTATGCCCATGATGCGCACGCAAATTGTACACAGAAACATACAGGACAATTTAACGCTGGTTCCGAACAGGAGATCGATTATGTAAATTTTTACCGAACTTTCATTTTTTCACTTTTTGTATATACTATATACTAATCTCACGTGAAAAGTTTCACTTTCAAACGATATCAGACTTAGTGATTATGTAAGTAAATTATGAGAAAGTGAGATCATATGTAAGAAAGTTGCGAGAAAGTGAGATCCTAAAGCCAGTTTACATTGTTCCTCTTAAACTTACGAAAATTTAACCTTCATGAATTTAACAAAAGCGTTCACTCATTATTTGTTGTTCCAGTTATATTATCGAGCAAAAAAGAATAATAAATGTAACTCAAAAACAAAAGGAAATGCTGTTAGACATTATGTCAAAAAATTTGGATATTGTGCAAGGAAGGGTGTCACGAAATTCTCAGAGCCGTATGGAACTGGTAAAAACGTGTTAGGTTATTTTACTGCTCTTGTTCTTGACCGTATATAGTAAATAAACAATATTTATTTAAAACTCGTAGAAAAATGCATAGGAGAATATAGCACAAACCCTAAATTGTTCTGGATTGGGGCCGGAGAAATCTTCATCTGAATGGAAAAAGGTCATTTTTTAACTTGTTTTATAATTTTCTATTTTTGATATAATTCTTATTTTTTAATTTTTATATGCTTTTTATGCACTTCATAATTTTATTTTTTACGTTTATATATTTGATTTAATATTTTTAATATAAAGTTTTAATATTTTTAATTTTTTTTATGTATTATTAATTATTATATCGACAGTGTTGGAACGATTGGAAAAGCAACGTATTGAAAAAAGAAGCCAAGAAAAGAGCTGAAATGACAAGAACAGGAGGAGGTCTTGCAGTAGTAATTACATTTTCCGACTTGGAAGAAAAACTTTTGAACCTCTTAACACCAGAAGCAGCTGGAATGTCCAACATACCAGAAGGTAGATTGATTTCTGTAGCGTCAAATACAAATGTTATTGTATGTATTATTTTATTATTTACTATTTATCTTTCTGCTTTTTGGCTAATATGTTTACAACGTTTTACTATTTTTGAACATAGATTAATCGTAGAACAGTGGAACCTAAAAAAATTGAATGCAATAAAGAGAGTGTTTTGTCACATAAAGATGCATCATCAAGTAGCTGCAGCGCGACAGATGTTGAATGCACCGACATTGTTGAGCATAATAACAATACATGCTACTCTTCCATAATTGCATTCAGTGATGTGGAAGATGACATCCTTTCAGAAAATACGCAAAATGTTAGAACCAATCTGCCTCTGACGATTGAGAAAATGAAGAAGTTAAATATAAAAAAACAAACGAAGCCTGGAAAAAGTGATATTTGTTTTTTTCCTGTAATTTTACAAAGTAATGCGGAAGCAAGCATATCAAAAAATACAGAGAACAAAGAAAACAGTCCACCTAAAAAAGTTAGAAAAACAATGAAGGTACATACTGAAGAACAAACCTCAAAACAACAGGGCTGCGATCATGTAACTTTTCCCCTAGAGCGGAAAAGCGAAAAGTGAAAGATTTCACGTGAATTTATGACCATCGAACTCAGCGAAATGGTGAAACGTGAAACTTTTCACGTGAACTTTTCCGCCATCAAATTTGTTGGCGGAAAGGTGAAAATCTAGTGACTGGAACATAATATTGTTACTACTGCATTGAGCAGTGTATATATAGGTACATACATCGATATTGTATTTATTAATATATATATATATAGTTTTTAGTTTTATTATGGCTGCAGCGTGGTGGATAATTCAACTTGCTGAAGAAGTTGAAAAAGAAGCAGAGAAAAAATGATATTTAAGGTTACAAAGAAAACAATTACGCGATACAATTAACCCGTTTGACATATTGGAGTCACAATTTCTCGCTTTATATCGGTAAATAAAAATATTGAAGCAAATGATATTGATTAAATAATATCAAACTTAAATATAAAAAATTAAACTATTATATATACATACTATTGCAAACCACATTCAAAAAGAATAATAAAAAATTTATGATTTTAATTTAAAATCAGTGTGTATACATAAAATTTACAATTATAGCTCATTTTATTATAAATTATTTACTAAATTAATTTTCTGTGTGTTTTATATATGTGTGTATAAGACATATATATTTTCTTTAATACAGACTGTCAAAAGAAGCTGTATTTGCATTATGCGAATATCTACGCCCTCATGTGCAACCAGCTGTTAGATCTACAGCGATTCCATTCGAATTAAAGGTATAATTAGAAAAATATATATTTACATATTTATAAAAAACAATCTGACATTATAATAATAATCTGCTATATATATATATATATATATATATATAGTAAGGGATAATATATTAAGTATAATGTTATATATAGTTCATTAATTTTAGGTTTTAACAACATTAAATTTTTTAAGTTCTGGATCCTATCAAAGAAGAGTAGGACAAGACTTTTTAAGTTGTGTCTGTCAATCATCTGTTAGTAACATAGTACATCAAATTGTCGATGCCATCAATATAATAATACCAGACTGGATAAAATTTCCTACACAACGCGATGAAATTCAGGCCATTCAGCAGCAGTAAGCTACAATCATTGTTATTTTTTTTAATGATAAAGAAATTAATGTTTTGAAATATATTTAAATATAGAAAATCTGTTATTTTTCAGGTTTTGGATTAATGCTAATTTTCCAGGTGCAATAGGAGCTATAGATGGCACACATATAGCGATTTTCCCACCTGAAAAAAATAGGGAACATTTATATATCAACAAAAAATTATATCATTCTTTGAATGTCATGATTGTAAGTATTTATATATAGTATTTACATAAACAATTGTATTAAATGCTAGGTATAGCTAGGTATAACCTGCTCAAAATTTTCAATGTTTTTTTCTAGAAGAGTAATATTTACGTAATGAATGGATACATTTATGTGTTTATTATTGTTAATTAGGTTAGTGATTACTATGGTAAAATATTAGCTGTGAAAACAAATCATGGTGGTCGTACACATGACGCCAGAGTCTGGAGTTCCTCTCAGTTATCAAGACATATGTTAAGAGAATATGAGAATGGAAGACGAAATGCCTGGTTAATAGGTATGCATAATATAAAAATATTTAATTTTTATATTTAAAGTTTGAAGTTATATTTAAATATATCATATTGTACGATTGAGTGTGTAAGATATATACATATGTAGGATGATATATTATATGTAATATATCTTACGTCTTACTATATTTACAATTACGTAATCGTACGTATTAGTAAAAGTTACTATTCTTTCATTTACTTTCATTTACTATATGTAAATCTAAATACGTATATACTTTCTTTATGTCCACAAGCATACATTTTGGCATTTAACATTGTTTTATATGTAAAACTAGGCTACTTGATAATATACAAAATATATTAATATACTTGTAATATATCTATAAATAGAAATACCACTTGATAATATACAAAATAATGTTTTTCACTAGACTTTTATAAAAGCATTTATGCATTATATGTCGTCATTTTAATTTTATATGTCTAGGAGATTCTGGATATCCCTTGTTGCCATTTTTAATGACGCCTAAATTAAATCAGCCACCGAGATCTCCAGGTGCATCATATACAGATAGTCATGTTAGAGCGCGATGTTCAATAGAAAAAACAATAGGAGAATTAAAAGGCAGATGGAGATGCTTACGAAAAGAAAGAGCTTTGCATTATGCACCAGAATTTTCAGGTAATAATATTTTATTGTGTTTCTTTCTTATGATATTATATTTTAAGTATATTTTATGTCAACATTTTACAATTTATTTTAGCACGTATAGTAAATGCAACATGTGTACTGCACAACATTGCTAAGCACTATAATGTTCCAGCAAATGAAATATATATAGAAGATGATATAGAGATTGAAGAGATAGAAATAGAGAACAATGTTAATATGCGTGCAAGAGGGAATGCTGTTCGAGAAACATTGATACAACAATATTTTACATAAAACTTTTATTGTATGAAAATAAAATAAACTGTTATCTATGGTAATGCATATTTATTTAGCATTTATTTATACATGTATAAAACGTTTATTTATATTAAAAAATAAATTCTTTTAAACATTGAACATAAACGCATTAAAATTATGCTAAATATTAAAAAATGTAAAGAGAAATTGCACGATACATAAATATTAAGGTACAAAATCCTAAATAAAAATATCTAATATCCTAAGCAAACGAACTTATAAGATCTTTAAATATTAGATGACTATATATTTTTCTATTTTTGACATATTAAATTCTATATTTTTAACATAAAATTTTATACTTCTAACATATTACAACAGAATTCATGCATAAATTATAATATAATTTTAATAAAACGAAACATTAAACAAAAAAATTATACATTACTTAATAAATGTATAAAGTAGAATTTGTTGTACACTAGATACATGTTATATAGCAAGTATAGCTATTACATCAAGTACTTGACAAAACCAAATAACTATAATAAAATAAAGGTTTTAATGCAAATTTTTTCATTATTTGATGATAAACTGCTTAAGTATATGGTTATAATGTTTCAGATGTTTCCCACGATTGTATAGATGTTTTTATATCTTTGAGTTCATCTTTGAGACAGAAACAGAAATACACAAACCTTGTTCCTCACAAAAAACCACAACTCTCCCTACTCAACGTCAAGAACCTATCCAACAAAGTCCTGTCCCAAGACACCATCTCTGTGCTCGCCAAAGGCCCGAACTTCGCAGTGGCACCTAGAAAGGTCCCAAAAGAAGAGATCGTCAGCCAAATAGAGTCAACCATCTACCGACT